GCAGAGCCGGGGCTGCGAGGCAGGATGCACGGCTGCCTCCGCCTGCTCCTCGGCTGCCTGGCGGCCGACCTGCTGGCGCTCGTGTGCCGGGCGCAGGAGCGCGCCGGCCAGCACCTGGGCAGCATCGTGGTGCTGTCGGGCGGGAACCGCTCCGAGCCCGGGGACCCGTCGGAGCCGCCGCCGACGCCGGACTTCTGCCGGGGCTACTTCGACGTGATGGGCCAGTGGGACCCGCCGTTCAACTGCAGCTCGGGGGAGTTCGTCTTCTGCTGCGGCACTTGTGGCTTCCGCTTCTGCTGCAAGTTCAAGAAGACGCGGCTGGACCAGGACACCTGCACCAACTACAAGCGCCCGCCCTGGATGAACACGGGGAAGCCGCCCGCCCGCAGCGACGACCCCCTGCACGACCCCACCAAGGATAAAACCAACCTCATCGTCTACATCATCTGCGGCGTCGTGGCCGTCATGGTGCTCGTGGGCATCTTCACCAAGCTGGGGCTGGAGAAGGCGCACAGACCCCAGCGGGAGCACATGTCCAGGTGAGCCCCCGCCCCGGCCTAGCCGCAGAGACCCCGGCCCGGCGGCGCCGGCGCCTTGGAAGCGGAGCGGGGCGCGGGCCCCCCCTCCCCCGTGTGAACCCGCTGGGAACGGTGTGACTGCGGGTGGGCAGCGCCAGTCCGCTCGCCTGCTGCCGGCCCCCCGCGGGGGGAGATGCGGGACTGGGACTGGGACTGCCCGAGGGGCAGAGGCGCCGGCTAGCGAGAGGCAACGTGTCACCAAAGATGGAGTGTGAAAGTCGCTGTGTCTCTGCGTGTGTGTGCAGCTGTCTGTGTATCGTGTGTGTGCGCGCGCGAAGCTGTCTCGTGTGTCGCATGTGTGTGAAGCTGTATGTCTCGTGCATGTGTGAAACTCTCATGTATCTCGCATGTGTGTAGCTGTGTCTCGTGTGTGTGAGGCGCTGCCATGAGTGCAGTGTGTTGTTTGTGTGCCGGGTGTGAAGCTCTCTCGTGTCTCCCAAGATTCACACATGAGACACAGCTTCACACGTGTGTGAAGCTGTGTCTCGTGCGTGTGTGTGTGTAGCTGTGTCTCGTGCGTGTGTATGAGACACCCCGTCTCCACAACGTCACGGCTGAGTTGGATCCAAGAGAGCCTCCCCCACGTAGAGGGAGGCGCGCTGTGTAGTGTCTGCGCCAGGGACCGGCTGCCTGGTGCTGAGGAGGCAGGTGGGCAGCCCAGGACAGAGCCCAGCTGCCTCAGCATCATTTTTCCCAGCCCAGATTGTCCCAGCAGTTCAAAATTGAGGCGTTAGACATTTGTCAAGTTTTCAGTCTGATTCATTATGCTAATTCTAGGCACAAGAAAAGTAAAACAGATGGGGAAAGACATTAAAAAAAAAAGGCAGATAGCTCAATTAAAGAGTCTAAATCGATTCCAGCAGATCGGGCAACTTTGGTGTTAAAATGCAATTGCAAGGACGCCTTCTATCGGACATGCAGCGTGGCAGAAGGTTTTCCATCTACCCGACTGGTGGTCGGTAGAAATGGAGTAATTCACAGTTAGAGCTACACTTGGCTCGGGAGTCACCCTTGGAAAGAGAGTTCAAGGGGTTGACTCCACACCTGGAGCCTAATTTCTTATCCAAGTTTCTGCACCACTTTGTGATTAACAACCTCCCCTGAAATGAACAGAAAAAGCCACCAAAAATAGTGCTGCGAATGCATCACCAGTTCACTAGCAATTATTTGCTATTTATAAATTGGATGATATGGATTCATTTTTTACTACTGAGGAACAAAGCAGACCATAGAAATTTTAGTCAACTCAACATTATGTGTCGGTGGCAGTTCTGGAAAGACTGTTTTTGTTGAGCCAATATAAATAATCCTTTAGACATTTTAAGAACCCTGACCTACTAAACTAAGAAAAAGGATACATAGATCTTTTTTGGGGGGAGGGGAGGGAACATCTCCTAACCTTGAAGCATTAGGTGAAGCTTCTCTGGAATAACTGTGTTTCCCTTTCCCCTGCATCATTCTGTTTGTGCAGTATCTATGCGCAGGTAAAAGGACAGATAAGTTTGAGCATTTTAATGTAGCAGAAATCTTGACAGAGAAGGTGAAATAGTGTATCCATTCCTGTTTAATTCTGGCTAAATCAGCTAGTAGCTGATCAAGAAGCCTCTATCTATTTGCTCTCTATCAGACACAGACATGAAGGATTTTGAAATATTATTCTGCTCCTTAGTACATAGACACTGAATTATAGAGGCAGAAACATGAACTCAGTCCCCTTCATACCTATGTGGGTAAAGACTGGGTGTTCACAAAGGATATCTGTTAACTTAATTAATATTTCCCAAACCATAGAAATCTTTATACTAGGATTATGTGAGAGACCATAGGAACACAAAAGAGGCCAGATGACATGGGAAAACAGTGGCCTACTCGATGCACACAATGGACATTCATCTACTAAAAAAAAATACTACAGCTTTTTGAAAGTTTTCAAGTTCTCATAACAAATATTTGGGGTAAGAATTTCAAAGCCATCTGGCAATCTGGGTACCCAATTGCTATTAATTTTAAAAGTGTCTAAAGGGTTTTCTAAATCCCTTAGCTCTGAAAAATTCTGTGGGGAAAAAATGAGACAAAAAATGTATCCTCAAATGTTTAACCATAACACTGTATCCTCGCATTTCTACACTTCTACTTTTTCTAAAAAAAAATATCTGCACAGGGTTTTCGGGCAAGAATGTGCATACTTGATAAAATAGTTCGCAGTAGTAACAAATAAAACTTTACCTATCCTACAGATTTATCTACCTTCCTGTATAGAACACATCACCGAGCTATCTATGAAAGTGGGCATGGCTTCATATGCTTTTCCTAAATTAAACCTCATAAGGAATATTAAAATCAGTATGTCACCTTGAGGGACTTAGGTAGGCTAAACTGAAATGCTATACTTGATGTTAGATATTCTGGTCAAAGATTTTATCTGTGTATTTTGAATGAAAGTAGCTTGCATAGTTTCAAGTGTTATGTATTAATTCATTTTTCCTGAGAGCTAAGAGGACAGAAAGGGTGATTTGCCTATTATTCTCTCATTTGAGAGAGTTTTCTTTTGTCTAGCTAATGAATACGTGAAACACATGAATCCTCTTAACTTTTATGGACAAATTCACTTAAAGAAAGGGGGACATTACTTATCAGAAATACAATGTACAATATATTGGCGTGCCTTTTTAAAGGCCAATGTAATGATATAATGATCACTGTATGATTAATGAAAGGGTATTTTATTTATTTTTTTTCATCAATTATTGTACTGAAAACTACTTTCAGCACAGTATTTTAAAGTGGACTTATTCAGTGAAAAGCACCAAAGCTAATTACTTCCTGTAGTTTAGACAAATAAGGACAAGTATAACTCCTATCATATTTTAACATTATGATTTCTGTTTAGATTTTCATTCATACACTCTCTTTGTGTGGGGAGTAATGGCAGCAGAAGATGAAAGGGGTGAATGAACTCTGTCTGACTTGCCCCCCTAAACCAAGGATGTTAATATACTGTTTATTCCTGATATTTAATGACACTCTTTCTTTTCTTTAGGTGAATTTGTTCATCAAAGCTAAGAGGATTAAAGTCTTTCTTTTGTCTTTAGATAAAGAAAGTGTCAAACTGTGTCCAAGAACTGAGCAATAATGTCTACAAAGAGCCCTAATCCTCCCTTTTGCCTTTCTTGTTTCCTAGGAAAGGGAATAGATTGTGCAGGGGGAGGTCATGGGGTAAGTCAATGGGAGTGACATTTATAAGGGGTCTGTGCTGCCAGGTGAGATGGCAGTTGGATAATAGTAAAGAATAGTCTGTTTCCTTAAGCTGTTGCCCGAGCAGTAGTTAGGTGTTCTCAACACAACACTTTACTCAACAGCATTTCTAGGCTATACTCTTATACCACCAGAACAGGTACAGGAATTTCTCCCTTGAAGTGTAAGAAAGAAGAAAACCCCAGAGACTGACCTTTTTAATTTCCAACAGGCTTTTCCCTTCTCTCCATAGACGGGATTTGTCTGTAAATAAGAAATAGCATTGTTTACTCTGCCAGTTCACATGGGACGTGTGTGGTAGAGCAGTAGAGGGCTCAAAGCTCACCATTTTTGATATTATCTGCACTGTATAGGTCCCGTTTTTAGAAACTGTGCTACCAATAGATTGAAAACAACTTTTTGAATATCTCATTAACCAACTGAGTTCACTTATCTCCAAAATGTGGGGATCTCCTCATTCATTTTTTATTTGTTCAAAAGGAGTGTACCTGGGGCAAAAATATTCTAAATTGCTCAACTGTTGGATCCTACATATACAATTATTTCCCTGATGTTTTCTGACCTTATTTCGGAGGAAAAAGACAACAACTGACCAACCTTTCATTAAATGACATGTATTTGAGTTTCTTAAAATTTGTAGCCATATGGGAATGGCTTAGTTATATATACTTTCTATCTTCTGAGAACACCATCACATATTCAAACAGCAAAATCTTACAGGAAGAGCTATCGTGAAGATTTATGACATTTTGTGGACACCTTTGGGCCATGATCTGATGTAGAGCTGACTTTGTTTTATATCAGTTTTTCTTCTGTACTTATCAGTATATAGGACCAGATGATGTCATTATCTGTCTGATTAGGAGATTACCTCAAGCTTTGGTCCACATTTTCTTAAATTAATTATATATTAGAGGTGTGCATTTAGAGAGCAATGCTGATCCTTATTTATATCATTTTCTAGTCAGACTTATGCTAACACCTTCTCCTGATATTATTCAAAATCAGTAATATGGTACCCTTTTAAACTTTAAAAAAGAACTGAAGTGCAATACAGGAGCAAAGCATGCAAAAAAAGCTATACATCAGCAGAAGTAAAACATTCTCATACATAGAGATAGATACATGGAGATAGAAACTCCATATATACATAGAGAGGAGTGGATGGATAGAAACTTCATCTATAAGAGCTTGTTCTGCTTATGAAGGGTTTGCAAAGCATGCACACCATGTAAGGACTTCATATGGCCTTCATGGCACAAATTTCTACAAGTATTTTCAACTGTGTAAGCACATTCTCAAAAGGCCAGAATGTGACTCCAAACATAATCTTTTGTTTTTGATTTCAATGAAGTGATGAACATCCTTAACTCTTACTCGTAACATTCAGACAAAAGTAGTGTGCATAAGATACTCAGCTCCTTACAATTAGGCCTTTATTTGTATACAACAGTGTAAGTGGAGAAAGTGTCTAATTAAAAAGCAACAGCCTGTCTTGAAAGGTTCCTTGTATAGGAAGTACAATCTCCTTTTTGTCCTGGCTTTTGGTATTCTTAACATTGTTAAGAATAACACTTGGTCAATTACTCATTAATTGATAGATAAATATTTTTGTAGTAATATTAGGTACCTAAATGAGCCCAAGTCTTCTAAGAGCAATTTTAAACATAATTTAAGGGAATTGTGTGGCAAGTTCCCATGAAGTTCAATAGAAATGGAACATTCAAGCCCCTTCGAAACCTCAGCCTTATTAATAGGCAGTAGTTAATCTGGCAGCATTACCTAAAGTCTTTATCAAATAATATAGTTACATTAATAGCAATGAGGAAGCCATCTCTCAAAACCTGTTCTCACAAACTTGGGAATATTATTCTATGCATTATGCATTATCACACAATTTTAACTTTCAGAATAAAGGTATGGGGTAAGGCATTGTTTCCTTTTCCAAAGATATTTCTTGAATGGATGTAAGACATATGCTGGCAATTTGCTTTGTATACATAAATTCTGCATACATTTATTAGGCAACCAGTGTTCTCTTGCTTCAGTCTTTATGTTGCTATTTAGCATTTTTTTTCTTTTATATATAATCCTTTTCTTTCAGGATCATATTGTGCATCTATACAATATCTATCCAATATCAGCTAATGCTTTTTTTCCCCTCAGTTATGTAGGCCAGCTCTGTTACTCTTGCTGTTTAAGTATTGCTTCGGATGGAAGTGCTGCTTCCAAATGCCTCAAATAATGCTTTTACAGTATCAGCAGAGTATTTTTTGTAATGTGTGATCAGAATTGTACCTAACAATCTAATGGCATTATGCCATCCATAAACATTTGGAAACATATTGTCATGTATCTTGTGCACACCAATGTAATGTGCCTGCATTCTAAGAGTAAGACCCAGCTCAAGATTTTTCCGGCTGTCTGTAACTTACATGAAGCTAACATGATATTTCAAAATATACTACATATTAACAAGGAAAATAACTCCTATCATAGTTATTCAGAAGAGCTGTGCTGCATTTGCCACAAGTTTCATTAGTGAATGTATTTATTTTTTTATTCATTAATTTATAAGCCACCCTTTTCCAGATGCAGTATCTGGGACACTATATATAATTTCACAGTAAATTAAACTAAACTGGGCACAGTGCCCAGAATAGGCATGCATTCACTTGCAAACTAGCTTAAGTGGTCTAAAAATTAAGAACTGGTGGAAAACAGTGGCGAATAATGGTCAGTGATGCACTGACCTGAATAGGAAAGACTTACACTGAGCCCTTAAGACATTAATAACACATGCCATATTCCTTTGCCTAAGGCCAGAGCTTCTGCAGGTGTGCCAGTTATTTTGTATGGCACAGTAGTACAGCAGATAGCTATATGGCATGCAAGTCAATCCTGCTTCTACTGAAGTCAACAGTAATACTTCTGGTCCTACCCCATTCAACAAGAGTGGGGTAGGACCATTGACTCAGATCTTTCCAATTTAAACACTGTTAAATATAATAAGTTGAATTAAAAAGACCACAGTACATTGCAGTTGCATTACATAATTTACAATAGATTTATTCTGAGTTTAATTTTTGTTCCTTAGGGCTCTTGCTGATGTTATGCGACCTCAGGGTGCAACAGATCACATGGAGAGAGATCTAAATATTGTAGTTCACGTACAACACTATGAAAACATGGAGACCAGGGCACCTGCAAATAATATACGTAAGTTGCATTGTATTTTATCAGCGTTTTGCCATGGTAGTATATTCAAGTGGTTATGACTGAATGAGACAGCACGTGGGATTTTGTAAAATTTATATATTCTTGTGTTGAATTAGCATCAAAGATTTTAAGGTTGAAATAGTGCAACATTGGCAATTGGCATTTAGAATTTAACAATAAACTTCTGCATTTGTTTGGAATTAATATTAGTAGTTGCCTGACATTTATTATGTATCTTCATATCATTTTAAAAGAAATTTTCATTTAGTTAATCAGATTATCACTTCCATGTTTTGGTGTACTTGATTGTTACTTTTATACTCCCTGAGATTACAGTAAAAATTAGAAGCTATTTAATAAGGCTCTAAAAGTCCAAGAAGAAAGTATTTTATTCTATGAAAGTTCTTATGGTGCCATTCCCAGAATGCTTTTCAGAAAAACATTAAGGAATAAGACTTGAATTTGTCACAAGAACTTCTTTCTTCCTCCTATTTTCAAGTGAAAAATTATGGGGGGGATTTTATTTGCTTTTTATAACAATATTATGTATGTATTTTATACCTTCTGTGTTACATACTCTAGTCATTGAAGACCAAATAGAGAGTACCTTACATGTGATATGAAATGTAGTGAAGTTTCAAGTATTTCTTTGATCCTGTTAAGAGGTTTACAATATTGGACCAGCCCTTGAGAGAGTTCTTCTTTCCTAAAGAGATGAAGTTTCCTCTAGGGAAAAGTCTTGTGTATTTGCAATGGTACAAAGGTACCTTTCTGCGACAAAAAGGTATCTTTTAGACATGTTAGGCTTGTTATATGTTTAGGCGTGTTATATGGTTTAAGTCTTTTCAGACCTCTTGCTTTTTTATACATCTTTGCATAACTATAGAGAGCTGATGGCTTACTATATTAGGACAAGACAACAATTCTGCTTGAACTGTACTATGAAAATGTTGTGAACCCATCCCATACTATTCCTTGGTAATAAGGTACTACAAGGAAGATGGAGAACTCAGAATATTTATGCATTTCTGATGAATGCACCCCTTTGGGTACTGATGATAGAAGCTAGGTGTGATTTCCTATTCTGTAAGTGAATGGTATTAGCAAGACAGTGAAAGCTACAACCTGTGGGAAAGTTACCATGTATAGTGAAGCCTGTCCACCTATTCTCATCTAATTGCACTGTTTCCCAAGGAACTGCTTGCATCTGGACCTATGCAGTTATCTTGTACTTTTAGGGAAAGTTCAGAGCTTTGCAGCACCATTAAGTCTCCTATGAACTTCCATTCAAAAAGATACCAGCTCCCAAGAGAAATAGAAAGCAATTAGGTACGCTCTCCCTAGAATCTGGGTTAAATGTAGCACCCAGGAATTGTACAGATACCTATTTAATTGCTCACTTCTACATATCTCAGAAATCCTCACAATGGAATATTTAATATTAAGGATCTTATGCAGTGTAATATATGGAAAGAACACAGCGTATCTTTAGACTCCAAGAATTTCTTGGTTTTATCAGTTTTAGGGCCTGCTTCTGTAAAAATTTCCACGTGTGCAATGGAGTGAGATTATATATCTAAGGGCTAGGTTATCTCTACTGGTACCTTAGACATTCTGGGCTGACTCTCAGTGGGTATAAATTACAAGAGGCCCATTTAACAGTTTACAACAGCTGAGGACAGGCCACTTTTTAACATTTTTTTTCCTATTTCATAAAGGGAAAACTGAAATGAAATCTACAAAATGTCCAGACATGGACGTGATAGTTCTGTCAGGGTTATCACGGTGTTATGTAAACAATTTTAAATGTTGTTGTTAGGTGGCTGATGGATCATTCACCATAGCTTTTACTGACTTAATAATGTCAGAACAATACATTCTTAGTAAAAAGAGTATTAAACCACTCAGCACAATTAAGTGATGTTTTTGAGCTGTTGCAATCTGCTGAGTGTGTATACATTTATATTACAGTATTCAGAGGGAAATCCTTATCAAAGATATTTACATGGATAAGCAGAAGCCAGTTTTCTAAATCTAACATCTTCGTTATTTGAAACTTTTATGGTGGAATTATGAAAGGTAGGAAAATGGAGTGGTACATTCAGAGAATTTTAATAACGCAGCATTGTCCAGTCCTAGTGTTAGAGAAATGAGAAACCTTTCTGATATCATTTTACAAGCAAATAAATTAGAATCTAGTACATGGCTTTTATAGAAAATTATCACAGCCATTATGCATGCTGAGCAAGTGAAATGGTACAAAATTATAGCATCAGATGACGACTTCTGTAGTTCTTTTTAAGTTACAACCTTCAGGAACAACTCAAATTGTGATTTAAATGGAATTTTAAGTTTATTAAATTTGTCCCTCTTGCATTGTTCCAAGACCTAAGGCAGCAAAGGGTACTTTTATTGCCACTGTGTGCATTCTTTTTTTATTAACTCTTTTTTCAAATGCATTAAAGACAAACTGTTAAAGGCAAAGTGTCACTCATGTTTTAATTTAAACAATTATTTAGTTGTGCCTTCTGACCACTTGAAATGCAATTTCGTGGGTGCTGCCAAAATTCCTCAGAAAGAGGAGCTCTAGCAAAATAAAATACCTTGCATAACAATGAAACTGAAAGACTATATTTAAGTCTCTAGACTTTATGACTAAAGAACAAGTATTTCCTATGTGGCCTCAGATTAGCACTGTTACTTGCCAAAATTAGAAGTCCATCAATAGGCAAATTTCCTAAGGAATAACAGTAAGTGCAAAATGTTTTCTGGAGGTTTTTGCAGCCCAGAGAAAGGATACTTCCATTCTTTTTTTGAATATCCATCTTGGCAGATCTGGTAACAGACAGACTTTGTTTTGCCCATATCTAGATCCAGACAGCGTAAACCCTAATTGCTTAAGTCTACTATGACGATTAATGCTTGTTACTATCTCTGCTCCATTTCTAATAATGTGCCTTATTTTGGATTACTTAGCAATCTTAGAGTGCCCTACTTTTTCCTTCATCAACTTGCAGAAGCACTGAATGATGTATTGGAAAAGAACAGAAAATATCCACCAAATAACATAAAAATCAAACATTATAACAGGGAATGTTAAAAACAAATTAATTCTAGATAATGCTTTTACAAAATCCTATTGCAGAATCTGTTGTATTATGTACATAGTCTAAAGAGGACTGCTGCAGAAGCAGAACTCTAGATTCTTTTTCTCTTGCCAATACATTCCCATTGATGATTATATTAGGAGTCAGCAATTTAACTTGTTCAGATTATATCTTCAGTGCAGTACGAGATAGGAGGCTTTCTAACTATGGCCCTCACTTTTGGAACATGCTTCCCACTTTTATTTCTAAATCTCAGTCTGTGACAGCATAAAAAGCAAATGCATATGCTACTGCTACCAACCCTCATTTGTTTTAATTGTCAGCAAAATATCAGTGCCCATATCCTCAACAATAACTGTGACTGGTTCAGGCTGGACATAAGAAAGAACTTCTTCGCTGTCCGAGCCCCCAAGGTTTGGACTAGACTGCCACCTGAGGTGGTTCAAGTGCCCACTTT